GATAAGTGATGGCTACAGATTGTATGGAAACATAAGATTGGAGTGTTTTCCTTCGATGTTAAATTTTAAACTTACAAAAATTTAAAGAGGAGTTTGATTTTAAACATAAAAGCCAAAGTCATGAGAAATGGAGGTGTAGTACCTATGAAAAGATCTAGTACCTAAACATTGAAGAATTCTTAATTCAGGACTTTGGAAGGTGTTATTATTACAACTCTGTATCGATGGTAGGCTTCATAGTATGTTGTATCTATAAATTGTTCATCGATATTTCTTCGGGAGCAACTTGCTGCTGGAGTGCTTGAACACTTTCCTCCAGCCATTTGGAAGACTATGGACATATACATGAAGACAAGGAGAAGATGAATAGTGTGATTAAAATGCCTAGAATTGCCATTTCTTATACAGCCATCATTAGATCATACATTATGATATATAAGATATAGTATGATTAGAAGAATTCAATTCATCTTAACCAAATAGTACAAAATGTTTGTCAAATCATACAATATGATCAGAATTTTACAGGACAATCTTCATTAAAACATTCATCTCGAGGAGTCAAGCTATACAAACTTTGAATCAATGGATCATGTTGTATGATTAAGCGTTCATAAAGTATGATGATTAATTAAATATTATACAGGATGACTTGAAAATGCCAATGACCACTATCACGTGTATCATACACTACAATGTAATGGTTCGTATAATAGAATGTAGCGGTTCGAACAATATAACCACCAATAATTTATTTGATATGGACTATTTATTGGGTTATGTGATGACGATGTGATGATCTATTGATATCATACATCATGAAGTAAATCATACAATACAATCTGAATAATTGTTTCTTTTGTGTGAAATGATCATGAAAAAATCTATGAGCAAATTTCACAAACAATCAATCATAAAAAAAGAGGTAAATATAAATGAACATGTACTAACAACCATAAACTCAAACTTGTAACATAAATAATTAAACATGTACTAATTGTTTCTATATTCTTAACCCATTATCTTTAAGCATTGATATCTATGACAACTAGTCTAATCCTAAGTGTACTGAAAGTCTCTTGACTAAGGGGTTTTGTAAAGATATTTATCAATTAATTTTTTGTAGCTACATGATGTATTTCTATATCTCCTTTTGCTACATGTTCCCTACTGAAATGATATACTGAGTGGTATCGTACCACGACTATCTTTTTTTTTTTTTACTTATGATCTTGCAGAAAAATGAATGAAAAAATTTTCTTCCTTTTTTTTTTTTTACTAAATAAAAATTCAATCCACAACCATTACAATGTTTTCAGCCTATTTTTCAAGAATGCAACATGATGGAATTAAAAATTTAGAAAATAAAGTCCAAAAAAAATAACGAGCGCACTAAAATCTTTATAGCAGTTTGGCCAAAAACTGACCAACATCTCTCCCCAGACTCCTATCAAGATATTTCATTAAATCTTCGGTGACTCCCCTTTTATCCCCACAACAAGGTGGATAAGCCTTTACACAATCACTTCCATCCATCGATGATGCGTCCGAGAAGCTAAATCCCTTTGAATAATCCAGTTCGGCAAAGTAGCCGAATCCCTTTCACCAACCCGGTACGATGGAGTAATCGAATCCTTTGACACCACGAGCCTCTAAAAAGAACATATGTACAATCAATCGGTTAGATAGGATAGTTTGCATCGGATATGCAGCAAATTTTCCACTGCAACTCAGCCGCAAAAAAAATAGAATTTCCATCACAAATCCTTTGACATTTTAAACAAAACATAATCAATGATAAAAGTACATCCGGTAATAATTTTTTTTTAGCTTATGTTTAGTAAATCTAAAAACACTTTTGATTTGATTTTAGTTCACGTACATAAATTTTGTTGAAGCACTGCATACTTATAATTCCAAATTTCTTTGAAAATCATTAAATTAGAATTTTTGAAACTCACAAGAAATGAAAGGCTTCAAATATTATAAAAGCAAAAAACTAATAATAACTCCCAAGAAAATAAGGTAGATATTAAGCTACAAGTTCAGAAGGTATAAGATTTTTCATGCATAAATAGAACTTAGGCAAGACTTTACTGTCTCAGTTTCAGAACAGTTTCAGAACCTGTTTAATTCAAGAACAAATCAGCCCGAAACAAATTGCTTATGGGAGCGTTCATAAATTCTCAAACTATTTTCTTTGGACATCTAAAAAGAAATTTATTTCAAGCTAGAGAAAATATTTTAATACTTTACGGATTTTTTTTTTCTTATTCCAGTGCAATGATTCCACTAAGTTATATATATGTAATTAAGTAGATATTTAGTAATACAAGTTTATATTTTTTCATTTTTTAAGGTAAATTTAATAATTTTTAATTACTTTGAAATCAAATATCATATGTAAAAATTTTAAGTTTTTTACATAAGAAAGGGATAAGGACGCTGTGTTAGTAAAACTCGGTCAAAATAGTAAGCTGGCAAATTGATCTTTGGTTTTTCTTACATTGAAAATATCAAATTTAAGGCGTTTAGAGAAAAGTTCAATTGAATGTGGGTGATTGACATATGCTTATTTATTTAAAAATCGTTATTTTACAGAAAAAATAATGTAAGAATTTCTTGATAATTTTTTGCTAGGATGCAATAAGTACAAGCCTTTATTGCACTATGTGGTGTCGGCTACATGAATCCTTTTTTTTCAATTGTGTCTTGTTAAGAATCAAACTGCATTCTAGTTATAGTAAAGAAATGTCATTTCTAATATTTTTTTAACCAAGATTGTTTATGTCTATCTCTACCTTTCTTAATAAAAATCAAATTTGTGGACATATCTAAAATTAACATAAGGTTGAGAACATTTTTGGGAACATTCGCTGAAGATATTCGACATTCATGGATTCATCAAATATGTTTTGCACCCTTTTTTTTTTCGAGCTAGTTCATTCATTCATATATGTTTTTTTCCTTACTTGGACAATTAACTCACTACATAAATTAAACCTCTACTTTTAGATAAATTATTCTGTGCGGAGGCCGGACGCAGAACGCCGCCCGGAGGCTTACCAGAATGCGCCACGTTAGCGGTACTGAGCCGCGATACTGAGCGGTATTGAGGTACGATACTGAGCGGTACCGAGCAGTACAGAGCCACAGTATCGAGCGAAGATGTGACGTGTTGCATTCTGGTTGGTCTCCGAAGGCATTCGACGTCCGCCCAGAATAAATAATACTTCTCTTAAGAGCTGATTTGATTGCTTATAAATTAAAAAAGATTTTTGAAAATGATGATTTCATTTTCAATTATTTTCAGCATAAAAAATAATGATTTCATTTTAAGAATTCGATGAAATCACTTTTGATCGCTACACTTCTCCTTCATATTTATATCTTAGTTTCAAATATTTCTTTTCGATCTTAATTTTCTCCCAAAATTTTATGAGGAATTCTTAAAAAAAAGTTTATCTTTTATTTTATCTTGTAAATCATGAGCGTCACATCAGCATTTTTATAAAAATTTTCTTTCTTGGTCCTTTTTGTTATCATACTCGCCCAGTCATAAACGCTCAACAATGACTGTTAACAATATAAAAGAAATTTAAGAACTGTTCAACACATGATATGTTAACAGGTATGCCTTTTTGACTTATAAAAATCAGAACCTTTAGGTCTTACAAATCACCCAAACTTGCTTCTCTTCTCAGATCTTTAGCTTAGTTATCTAGGAAATGAATATGCTCAAGATTTGTGTGGTGGTTCTTTTTCTTCTGACGCTTCTTATAGGCCTTACCAAGGCTGAATGCTGTCTTCCACAGGATGGAGGAGGTTATGATTGTCACAATGACATAGTTTTCAATCCTTCGCAATGCTGTATTAGATCTCGCACTTGGGAATGGCGTTGCCCGTAGATAAATAGATTACGTGTTAACGTTATTAATGATGATTTACTATCATAGTCCTATTTATTTGTGTGATTAGCTTGTTGGGTGTTATGTTAATTTTGTTATGCTTCTTGTTTGATTGTTGTGAAAGAAATATAACTGATATTGAACCCTTGGAATTATTTTCATTTCTTAATTAATATAGCTTTTAATAATCAGATTTTTTCTCGGATTATACTTAGGATTTTCAATATAGATATATCCAACTTGATTAAAAGCATATGTAGAGTGCAAAAGGGAGAGCACAAGAAGCATTTCATCCTGATCATCATGACACTCAAAGGCACTATAATTTTATTCAACTTATATGCTTATTGTGAAAACTGCTAAGAACTCTGTAATTGGACCTCTTAGGCTTCAATTTGGATGGCTTTCTTTCTGTTTTTTAAAGTAATTTTTTAATAATTTTTTTTTTTTATTTTTTGCTAGAAAGTTGCTTTAAAAAGAAGAAAGAAAGCTGTCCCAAATGAAGCATTGATGTGCATAAGTTTCAAAAAAAAAAAAAAAAAAGCGCTCAAGTATTTTTAACAAATATATTTTCTCTTTAAAATTATGAATTTTATGTTGATTAATAATTCCTACACAGTGAATCATCAAAGAAAAAATTATTATGTAGTCAAATGATTGAAATTTGTAAATATAACTGATATTGTTCGATTGTTGTGAAATAAATATAACTAGTATTGAACCCTTGGAATTATTTTCACTTTCTTGTTGACCTCTACTCAAAGCCAAAGAAATAAAAGAAAAAAAAAGGAAATTGCTAACCTGAAGATCGACACCATCCACATCATCACCAGAAATCCTGCCAGAAATCCCAGAAGAAATCTCGCATACCTCGTATCAGTCAAAAGATCCTTGTAAATCCAGCGAAACCACTGTATCTGTTGTTAACAATGTGATCACTTTGCGTAAATCCCATGCCTCGATCAAGTTTTGCGCTCCTCGTTTTTTTTTTTTTTTTGGGAAGAACCGGGGCAAAGCCCATTTTATTAAGATAAAAAATTAACAAAAAGACTTACAATAGCACAAAGAGTAACAAAGACAAAGACAAAGAGTTCAACTCAAACAAACCTTACAAAAGCCAAAAACATAAACTAATAAACAAATCAACCCAGCAATTACAAAAACCAATACAGCAACGGGAACAAAAACAGCAAAGAGAATGCTCCCGCCCTAGCCAGACAACAGAACACCCAAAATTTCAGAGAAATTGAAATTTCTCAATAAGATGATGAAAGCTCTTCCAGCTACACGTTTTGACCCGTATAGCATTTTTGATAGTAATGGTAATATTCTCCATGGAATTCCAATTGTTAGCAAATTTCCGGTTGTTCCTTTCTCTCCAAAGGTGGTACACAGTGCATCCAATCGTAAGCCAGCAGAAGTTCTTTTCCCAATTGGACAAAAACAGCTGGTTATCAATGTAATCAAAAACCTGAATCAAAGTAGGTCTAAGTAATAAAGAGTTTAAGTCAGGAATAAGGTTGCTAATAACATTAAAGGTAAAATCACAGTTAAAGAAAAGATGGTTGTGATCTTCCTGGGCATTGTTGCACAGGCAGCAAACCTGATTGACTTGAATAGATTTTTTGATTAACAAATCAGCAACTTTAAGTTTCTGCAGCATAGCCATCCAGGTTAGAATAGAGTATCTAAGCGAGTAAGATTTATGCCAAACATACTTGTGCCAGGTAACCTCCTCTCATGATCATAAAAGGATTTCAAAAAATTTTTAAATTTCAGGTTAAAAGAGCCATCCCAAGCCAAAACCGGTTGCTCTTTAATCTCAATGCCGCAAATAACATGCTTCATATTATCAGGTAAAAAGTCTGGAAGGGCCCAAACTTCATCCTTGATACAACTATTAATAAATAACCCAGTAATCCTCTGATTTATCTGAAAAAATTCATATAAATTTTTTCCATTAATCCACGGGTCCCAGCATAAAGAGAATTTAGACGAAGAAGTGATATTGAAAGCTAAATGATGCTTGATTTTATGAGCAGTGGAACATATAGCTTTCCAGAACTTAGAAGCTTTGGCAACCGGAGGCTTCCAAGGAGAATAATATTTATTCTTAAACCAATAATAAATCAAACTATCTTGAGTAAGAAAATTCCAAATAAAAGTGCAGTGATAACTGTAATAACAAGCATCAATAGAAACAATACCTAAACCGCCATTTTGCTTAGGGATAACAGTTTTCTCCCAAGCAATCATATGCACTTTCTTACCATTAATATTCCCATGAAATAAGAATTTTCAACATAACTTGTTTATAGTCTTACAAATGCATTTAGGTATGATAGACCCTTTGATCCAATAGGCGAGAGTGTTTGAAATAGTGAATTTAAGAAACTGAACTCTACCAGCTAAAGAAAGAAACCTTACCTTCCAGCCTTCAAGATAGATGGGAAATAATTTTGTCTAACAGGACTTGAAAATGATAAGCATTCAGCCTTTCTGGAGATATAGTAATCCCCAGATACGTAAGGAAACTACTTCTCTGAATAATACCCATAATGCTACAAAATTGTTCAGTATCAAAAGTATTATTAGAGAAAATAATAGAGCTTTTAGTGGGATTGATGCTAAGTCCAGAAGAATCCGCAAAATCAGTAAGAATGTTCATAAGGTTAGTAGCATTTTGAGCTTTAGCCATACCAAAAACAAGAAGATCATCTGCGTACATAAGATGATTAAAATTCTTGCCATTAATATTAAAAACAGGACTATTATTCCCCACAAAATTCGAGGTGAGGCTGCAAGAAAGAGCATCCATAACAATACAAAAAAGAAGGGGGGATAAAGGACAACCTTGTCTAAGGCCAGAGGAAGAGTTAAAAAACCACTCCAAAGACCCATTCAGGCAAATAGAAAAATGAACATTAGCGATGCAACAATTAACCCAGTTAATAAACATGTCCGGAAAACCCTTTTGCCTCATTCTATTAATTAGGAATTTCTGAGAAACAGTATCAAAGGCCTTCTTAATATCCAGTTTAGCACAAAAAAGGTTTCTATTAAAATTAAACTCTCTAAGCACTTCCGAGGCAAGCAAAATGTTATCCGTAGTACACCTGTTATGAATGAACCCAGCTTGACTCTCATGAATAATTAAAGGTAAAACAGACTTCAAACGATTAGCCAAAAGCTTAGCGATAATTTTATAAAAAACATTGCATAACGAGATAGGCCTATAATCATTAATATTAGAAGCATGCGGTTTTTTAGGAATAAGAGTAACGGCTGAAGTTTTAACCCCTTTGGGAAGCTGGCAAGTAGTAAAAAAACTTTTAATAGCATTGCATAACTTATGCCCAATGATATGCCAAGCTTTTTTATAGAAATCAAACGTATAACCGTCAGGACCAGGCGCAGAGCAAGAAGAACCATTAAACACTGCATTTTTAATATCTAGATCAGTAAAAGGCAGAGTTAAGGATTCAATCATATTCGAGGGAATAATGTTCCCAACAGGAATGCTGAAAACATTTTCATTAACCGGTCTGGGAGAATTAAAAATCTCTTTGAAATGCTTAATAATAGCTTCAGCAATTCCGGCTTTATTGTCAAACTTACCCTCAGAGGTGGTGATCTCTTTGATGACGTTTAAATTCTTCCTAGATCTAATATGAGCATAGAGAAAACCAAGATCATTTTTCCCATTTCTGAGCCATTTAGTTTTAGCCCTTTGGTATAACCAAGAGGACCACGCTTTGCTAAGAGAATTGAGATTGTCACAGGATTGCTTATACAGAAAATTTAAATGCATGTTCAACGGGTCCTGCTGCAGATCAGCAATATATTTTTGCTGATTAATCTTAATATTATCCATAGTATCTAAAAGGTAGCAAGAAGAAGTCCAAATTTTACTTTTAAGAGAGTTCTTAAGAATCTGCAAAGATCTATAAAAAGCAGCAATAGAACTACAGTTATAATGCCTATCAAAAGCATCTAAAACCATCTCCCAAAAACCATCCATGTTAATCCAGAAGTTTTTAAACATGAATCTAGACGGGTTTTTATCACACTTTGAAACAGCTAAAATTAACGGAGAGTGATCAGAATTATGAGTGGGAAGAATTTTATAAAAAGCATCAGGAAATCTCTCAAGCAAAGCATTGTTAGTGAGCATCCTATCTAATTTAATATGAATAGGCGAATCAAGTCTCTGATTATACCAAGTGTAAAAAAGACCAACAGAAGCTAAATCAAGTAAACCACAGTCAAAAATAACTTTGTTAAGCTCACCCAACTGGCTATTATGGGTATGATGCCCACCGGATTTCTCATCAACAGATCTGTAGCAGTTAAAGTCACCCATAATAACCCAAGCCATGGAGGGATCCGGGATCAGATTTCTCAGCTGATTCCATAAAATATTCCTATCACAAACATTATTAGCAGCATATATAACAGAAATTAAAACCGGCGGTTGAGTACCAACCGTGACAGTACCATGAATAATTTGAGAAGCAATAAAGAGAGGAGAGAAAGTAATAATATTCGGGTTCCATTTAATCCAGATCCTACCTGGATTAGAGTGGCTAAAATTATTAATACTATCTTCCGTATTAAAAATCATATGCGAATTGACAAACCAAGGGTCATTAATAGACTCATTGTGAACTTTAGCTTCTAAAATGCACAATAAACCGAGATTGTTATCTCTAACCAGCTCTCTACAAGCTTTAACCTTGTTAGGGTTATTGAAACCTCTAACATTCCAACATCCAATATGCGGCAAAAACATTAATTTTTAGAATTTTTTCCTTTCCTGGCCGACTTAGCTCTAGTAGTCATAGAAATCGGAGATGTTTGATTTTTGTTTCCAGAAGAGATTTGAGAGGAGGAAACTTCAGTAACTAAATTAAAATCATGCATATTACTTACAGAGCCATTATCTTCCAACTCAACGTCCGGAGGATCATCCGTTTGAAGAGCCGAGAATTTGTTTGACAGCATAACCTTAGCTGGAGGAATTTCAGAAGGAATAGAAGGTTGCCCAGATGAAGAAGTTTCTTCAATAGGAGAATTCAGATTAGGAATAATTGCATCTTTACCAAGATAATTCAGATTAGGAATAATTGCATCTTTACCAATGCAATTATTAGGAATCAGGGGAGAAATTTCCTTTTCGGGCGCCGGAATTAATTTTGGAAAGTTATTAACGTTCCTGTTATTGCTTTCCAAAATTACATTTTTCAGAGAAGTGGGCTTCGCCGGAGCCGAAATTACCTTTTCCGGAGGAGTTGGCTTCATCGGAGCCGGATTTTGGGATCTAGGATTCCGGCTAAGACTTCTACCTCTGTTTTTGGTTTTAGGAGGGGGACGAACAACCGGCTCAGGATTCAGATTCGACTTGCAGGAAGCATAACTGTGAACCAAAGATCCACATCCTTCTCATCGACTTGGCTTCCAGTCGTAAATTACTTTAAGCATGATATCTTCTCCTTCAATGTTGATAGGAATTTCATCCGGGAGAGACGAATCTTTAGAGATAGCAACACAGACTCTAGCATAGGTTAATCTAGCTCTTTTAGCAGTAAGAAAATCAACAGATAAGGGATTACCAATATAGCTGGCTATAGTCGAAATTCCCTTTGGGGTCCAAAGGGCCAAGGGGATATCAACAATTTTTATCCAAAGGGGAATCTCAGAAAGTTCATCCCTCTTCGGTTGGAATTTAGGGGACCATTTTTGGAGAATAAATGGTTTCCCTAACATGAACCAAGGTCCTCCAGACCAAACAAGATCAAAATCTTCTTGGTTAGAAAATTTGATCAGGAAAAAACCATCTGCTAACGAGAGAAGGGAAAACGAACCTTTCAGTATCCAAACCTTTTTCATGGCTGCGAGAAGTCTCTCGTAATACAGCCTTGGCCCTAGAGAATATCCGATCAAAGAAAAAGACCATACCGAGATGCCTTCGAAGAGATCTTCTCCTTTAAAAACAAGTTTTTGACTTGGCCGAACAAAGGAAACCGGGAAATCTTCCTTAGATGCAGAAGGATTTGCCAGGTTCTTTGCGAAGGAACCATTCTGAGATGCTGGAATCCGACCCAGGATCAAAGTATTTTGAAGAGGGGGGAATTCGTTGATCTCCATCAGGGAGAGGATTAACCTCTCCCGATCGGAGGAACGAAGGCGGCGCGGAGAGCAAGGCTGAAAAACCCTAGAATCGCCAAAATATCCCAGAGCACCTTCGTTTTCAAATCGGTCAATTTTTGCGCTCCTCGTTAAAATGTCGATGGAAAGAATCCTTCAGATTCTTCCCCCATTTGAACACATGTTTCTTTCCATGGAAAAGTAAAAAAAAAGAAAGAAAGAGCATGTGGAGATTTCCCACATTGGCACCTTAATTTCAGGTCTATTAATTGTACGTGTAATTAAACAAATATGTCGCACACATTTATTTTTGAAAAAATATATATCTGAAAGTCTATTTTAAGAAATATTACTCATATATTAAATTATTATGGATACTCCATAATACTTTTGTGATCATTCAAAAAATAAAAATAAAATGTTTGCTCAAACATCTCCTTGCAAACAATCTTTTATAATAGTATCAAGGCTCAATTGAACAAAGCCCTGAGCAATGTCTTCTTAATTAATCGCCTCTGCTTCAATGTGCTGAGTTTAATGTTACCATCTTTTTTTTGGTTCACTTGATATATGAAGGTATAGATGTATAGAGATGTAACAGATAATCTATCTTAAATCACTTGTTTTTTTTTTTTTTTTTTTTTTTTTTTTTTTTTTTTTTTTTTGAAGTTATAGAAAAAAAAGTATTTTTAGAATCAAGAAAATACAAATGAAAGCCACGTCTTCAAGTGCGATATTATAAAATATACATTAAATAAAGTTTGAGAAATCAACCTATAGTTGAAAGTTTTTTTGGGACATTTAGGACAATTATGGCTAACTTATACACACATCACATACATAAGATTTTAGTCCAAAACCTCTAACTAAATTAGTAGACAAAGCTCCGAACAAACATACATAGTGGAATTGCATACACATAGTTGAAAGTTAAAGAATGACAAGGATCAAGAAAAAATATTCTTATTGTTTTTGTTAACTCTATAATGTATAACAATCTTATAGAGAATAGGAATCCATTGCATAATCCTTCTATTTAGTTGATTAAAAAAGAAATTGAGAATGAATCAATTGATTTCACACTCGATGCTTTTTGCTTCATGAGAAATGATGCTTGGTGAGGAGGAAGAAATTGCTCCTAACTCTAGTAATATTTTTGCTACTATGGAACCCAAGACTTCTTATGTTAACACTGCTTCTTCACTGTCTTCTCTTGAAGGGAGTTGTGTTAACATTAAGGATGATGATAGTTTTAATAAAGTAAGCAAGAAGAAACATAAATATAACAAGAATCCTCCTTTACCCACTACTCATTCTACTAAAGCTTAAACTTTTTTAAAATATATTAATGGTTAATGCTCTTATTTAGAATGTGAGGGGTGTGGGGGGTTCTGATTCTAGATATACAGTTAGAAAAATGTGTGGGATGCTTAATGGCAATGTTTTGGTTTTAATTGAACCGTTTATTTCTTCTCTTAAATTAGCCTCTATGGGTAGTTATCTTGTTTTTAATATGATTTTTGTTAATTGCACGAATAAAATTTATTTTTTTTTTTGGAATAGGCCTATAAGTGTTATCATTATTTATGAGTACCCCCAAGTGATTCATACTAAATATGTATTTTATCAATTTAACTTTTATGGTTCCTTTATTTAAATTTCTTATTCTAGTTTTGATATGATGATCCTTTGGAATTAGTTATATATTTCTATTTAAGTTCCACTACAGGAAAATCATAAATTACCGACGATAATTCCGACAGTTAAAAAATCACCAGAATTACTGGCCGTATGAAAGCCGATTATAACTGGCGGTTTACCCTGCGATTTTTAATAATAAACCACTCAAAATGCCAGCGATAAAATTACCACTGAATTGGCCGCCAATTTTGTATTTTTTTGCCTTCAGTTTTAAGTGTTTTTCAGGCCGTCGAAACCGTTAGATAAACACCAAAAATTGAACTAAAATTGGCCAAATAGGCCCTTCCTCCTCATTTGGTCGTGTATTTGTTTCTCCTCCAGGCATTGCTCGCGCTTGCCTCTAACTGCATCTGTAGGACTCCAGCCGCCGACACAGTAACTTTGACCACAAATTACACCCTCACTCCGGCCACCGATCACGCCCCCACTCTGCTCTCCAATGCCCTTGGTTTTCCCCTCCTACGTCCTTTGTCCGGCTTGCCCGAAGGCTCTTTTTGAATTTAATTCTTTTGTTTCTTTAGTCATGGATGATTATTTAGAGAGAATAATGATAACCTACATATGATATTTATTGATTTATAGATAGAATACGATAAAGTTCCAAGAGAATTGCTATGGAGAATTCTAGAAAAGAAAAACTAGATAGTTTGATAAAGTATTTTCATATTTCAGTTTGATTACATCACGGATCAACCTTAAGCCCATATCTTTTTATATCATAGATAGAATAATGATGACCTACATATGATATGATTTAGAGAAAGCATATGATAAAGTTCTAAGAGATGTGCTATGGAGAGTTTGAGGAAAGAAAGGGGTTAATAATGCTCATATTCAAGTCATTAAGGATATGTATAGATAAGTTGTTACTTGTGTTAAAAAAAAAGGTGGTTTGACCAAGTATTTTTATATTTCAAATCGATTACATCAAGGATCACATTAAAACCGTTATCTTGTTGCTTCAACCATGGATGTTCTTACTAGACATTTGCTAGAGGTTGTTCCTTAGTGTATGCCTTTTGTTAATGATATTCTTCTTATTGATCGATAAGACCACAGAGGGAGTTGAAGGTAAACTTGAATGTAGAGGTCAACCTTAGAGTCTAAGAACTTTTGTTTGAGTATATCTATAATTGAATATATGTAGTGTAATTTTAATAGTAATAGATCTATTGGGTGGATTGTGAGTTTAGGCATAAGTAATTAATAAGAGTATACATTTTAGATATTTTTGATATGTTGTTCAGAGTGATGGTGGTGAAATAGATGAGGATATTATTAGTAGAATTCTAGTTTGATAGTTGAAATGAAGGAATGCATCGGGCTTATTTTTTTATAGAAAAGACCTCAAACTTAAAGTAAAATTCTATAAGATGGCAGAAATTAACCGACTGTCACAAGCACGATGACTGCTGGAATTTATCTGTTGTTATGGCTGCTGAAAGACTTAGCCGCCGAATATTGACCACCATAATTTGTTTCCTATGCGGTTTATACCGACGGTTAACAAACTACCAGAAAATTTATATTAACCGCAGGAAAAAGCCGCCGGTAATTGGCAATTTTTCTGTAGTGTTCTAATGTTTTGTGACTTGTTGGTAGTGATTTTAATAAGATTTCTAATGCTGTTAAAACGATTGGGGGAAACTCTCTTAATCCTTAAGCAATGAAATATTTTAGTAATATGATTATGGATTGTAATTTGCTTGATATTAGTTACTCTAGGGCACCTTTACTTGGAATAGAGCCACCATGTGCCAAAGACTTGAGTGCATCTTTTTTAACAATATTCGAATTATTGATTATCTCATGACTCAGGTTGAGCATTTGAGTAGAATTGTGTCTGACCGCTCTCGTCATTTACTTAGTGTTAATCTCCACAAGGTTTTTATGCCGCTTACTTTTAGATTTCAAAACATGTGGATTTAATGAATCTTTCTTTAAAATTTTTGAAAGTAATTGACATTATCCTGTGTTTCATAATGATAACATTTATGGTATGAGCATATCGTGGTCTAAACTAAGAGGAAAAGCAGCTGAGTTGGTGGAACAAATGTGTTTTCAAAAATATTTTTCCAACATTACGGAGGATAAAAAGAATGTTAATTGTTTTGATAATATTTACTTGAATGACTCTTCTACTAATAATTTGAATCTTCTTAATAAAGCTAAAATTGATTTATATCAATTGCAGGAGAAAAAAGAAGCCTTTTAGAGATAAAACATAACATCTAAATTTTTTGTTGGGAGGGTGATAAGAATATTGAAATAGATGGGGATATAAGAATAGAGAGGGAGTTGAAGGTAAACTTGTATTAAGGAGGTCAACCTTAGAGTCTAAAGGTTTTCGCTTGAGTAGATCTAAAATTGAATATATGGAGTGTAATTTTAGTAGCAATAGACCTAGTGAAGGGATTATGACTTTGGGCGATCAAGTCATTACTAAGAGTACACATTTTAGATATCTTGGATCTATTATTCAGAGTGATGCTAAAATATATGGGAATATTATTAGCAGAATTCAAGTTGGATGGTGGAAGTGGAGGAATGCTTCAGGTTTATTGTTCAATAGAAAAGTACCCCTCAAACTTAAGGAAAAATTCTATAAAATGGTGGTGAGACCTGCAATGCTTTTTGGTGTCAAATGTTGGCCATTAAAAGAAAAGCATAATACTAAGTTAAGTATTGCAGAGATGAGAAGGCTTTGGTGGATGACTGGCTTTACCCTTACAGATAGGATGCAAAATGAGCATATACGTGAAAAGGTTGGAGTAGCTCCAATGAAAGATAAGATTAGAGAGAGTCACATTAGATGCTTTGGCCACATTAAACGGAGGCCTTCTGAGGACCCTATTAGTAGGGGTGTCAATTTCGGGTCACGTGTCAGGTTCGGGTCAAACCCGAAATTGACCCGGCACTATTCGGGTCAACCTGAACCCGACCTATTTTTGAAAATGGGTCAGTTTTTCAGACCCGAATCTTACCCGCTTTGGGTCCGGGTCAACCCAAAACGACTTGAATGACCCATTTCTAACAAAAATTTGCTAGTTTTTTGGTCAAAAACGGGTCTATATCATCTTTTTTGGGTTAAAAATGGGTCAAAATCGGGTTAATCTCGGGTTGCAGGGTCAAAATCGAGTTTTCAAGTCAAAATGGATCAATTTCAGGTCATTTTTAGGTCAAAGGGTTAACCCGAACACGACCCAATTTTTGAAACGGGTCAAAATGTTGAACCTGAACCCGACCCATCCCGGGTTCAGGTTGACCCTAACCCGAAATTTTTGGGCCGAGTTCGAGTC